ATACCACATACTTTGAGATACACTATTCTTTTATCTAATATCAAATTTCTATTTAATATAGTATTACTAAAATTTTATATTTCTTCCTCTAATTTTGAGCACTTCAGAGGCATTAGAATAAATACACAACTGTAAACAATTGCCCTTCAAAAAAATGTAAATATGCATAGTCTCTACTCACCTGATACTTTACCAATATCACATAATTTGCACACTATAAGCTCCATTCTTTCAATAGAGTATGCAAAATTTTACTTTCATGGATATCATAAATGTGACTCTTCTAATAACAAGCCAAATTATTTGTACTAGAAATATCTACATCAGTATTGTTTTATACAAAGTCACTAGAGGTGTTATACATATCAGTAGCATTAAGAATTTTTTTTAAAAATAGTTCCCCCCCCCTAGAAGTACATAATACCTTGATTTATGTGAACTTATACAGTTCCAGATTCACTAAAAAAGAATACGATAACTGCAAATTTGGCAGGAGATCTTGGGTCAGTTAGAACACAGACAATAATAAAAAATGCATTCTTGCTAAAGTCTATTGATAGGAAAAACTATATCACAAAAAATATCCATAGCTGGCTGGTTATTTAATATTCTAATTTAAATATTGCTACAATAAATTAAGGGTATTTTTTTCACAGTAGCAGACAATAGACACTGTCCAATTATACTTTATGATCAAAGATGCTCAGAGTATCTCAAATAACGTTTAGAACACTGAATTCAGTACAAAATTCAGCACACTAAATTCAGTAAAAAATTCAGCACACTAAATTCAGTAAAAAATAACTAAAGTTCATCTTTTATGGAAACAGATCTTTTGTCTCTTAATAACTTATAAGGTAAAAACTGCTCTAAATTCTATCAAATTTTAAATTACATTTCCTCATAATGAACTAATATGCATGACTTCTCATGCTAAACAAATCCGCTGCTTAATGATATCTGGACAATAATCTCTAACATCTACGAAAAGTAAATTAGTTTGCTATGAAGGAATTTTATGTGATTAAAAAAAAAGTTATTGAAGCATCAGACAAGTTTGTTACACTTTTATGAAGCAATGTGCATCAATATCTCCTTAATGTAGCAAATATTTTGTACTGATATGTATAAAAACTATATTATTTAATGCATATTTTTCTCCTAAACAATTAGTTTTTTACTTCCTTGTTGAAGTAAAAAGGAAGTATTGTAATCAGGAAAAGTTTCAGCCCTCATATTTCAACGAAAATATCCATTTTGACCTCTATTGAATGCAATTTAACGATGTTCTTGCGCGACATCTGTACATAAGAACATGAGAAAAGGCTCTTTTTCCCCCAAGAAAATTATAAAACTGATTTAAAATGAATTCTGAAGAGTATTTTTCATGGTGTCTGTATGTACGTACGTACATATCTCACATAACTCGAAAACGAGTAGCCTCAGAACGTTGATATTTTGTATATAGGACTGCTATAACATGTAGATGTGCACCTCGTATTTTGTTGCAATCAACCACACCAAACATATATGTATATATATATATATATATATATATATATATCCACTCTGTTACCTGGCTCAGTGATCTTAGTTTACTCTTATGTTTGTAAGTTGTGCATTTTTTGCTTTAAAAATGATTGCATTATGTTGTTCTTATCTTCCGGTTAAGGTTTTTATGCCTTTAGTAAATCTGCATGCAATATTTGTGGAGTTATCAACAATTTATAAAAGTTGTTTAAGTGCAGCTAAGCCTAATGAATTATGTGATTGTGGACGTTTGTTTACATTTCAAACTTGGCAAAATAGTGGATTTGTTGCCAATCAAGAGAAACTAAGCTTAAAGATAATGCCTTCTTTTATTATTGCAAATTAAATCATGTTTTATCCATTCTGGAATTTATTCGAGGAAATAAGTGTTTAAGATTTACTTTGCAATTTTTAATATAGATATTTTGAGATTTACGCATTTTTGCCTTGTCGGGAAGTGAGAACTGAATTAATTGAATGAGAAATACTAAATCGTCTGTGAAAAACTGTTCCTTTTTGTTTTGTTTGCTTAATTTCTTTTATACATCTTTCAGATTTATTATAGTATTTGAATAGAACGTGTGGTAATGATTAGATAATTCTTCAAATGATATAGATTTACATGCATTCTGGGTTATAATATGAACGAAATGTAACGCTGTTAAGTGAACCTAGCACCAGAGTGTCGCTATGGTAAAGAAATATAGTGAATTTTAAAGAGTGCATTTATTTTATTGTGGTTTATGTGCTATAGACAATGTAGATTTAATTCAATCCAATAAGTTTAAATGAAATGCAAGAAAATATAATTTAATATTCCGTACAAAGAAGTTATGTGGTGTACCCATCAGCACTTGGTCTTGATAACTAAAATTTTATGCATTTATATGCAGATTTAGAACTCAACTTATACATATCCGTCTTACATGCTTTTCAGTGTAATTTTGATGTTACTGTATAATTCTGACGTAACACAACAGAATAAAGCTTCATGCATGAATATCTGTATGATTATGTTATAAAAACTAGAGGAATTCTTACAATTATTTCACAATAGTTCATCACACTAATGAATTATTATAACTGTAATAATGTTTTTGTGGCACATATTTATAATCATACTTTTTTATTATTTATTTATCTTTTTAGGAATTATTTCAATATAAATAAGATATTTAATATACAACCGAGCTGTTTAAAGTTTACAGTATTATATTAAAACAGGGTTGCCACTCAAACAGGAGAATGAAATTCCCTGACTTTTTTAGGTTTTCCAGGAGTGTTTTGAGAAAATTCCGGGCTATCTGTGTAGTGTGCATTGGCTGTGCTGAGGGTAAATTAATTATGGTACCACTTGAAAATACAAAAATCTGCCAATTATATATGACTTTATATATATATAATCCCCAAAGCATTACTTTTATAACTAAAATAGGAGTTGTTTTCTGAACCGAGGATTGAGATCAGAATCTGTCCAATCAGGATTTAAAAATGTCTTTTCTACAGACATTTTGCAGCTAAAGGAAGAAAGAAATCTATTTAATAATATTTTAAAATAAATTTAAGTATTTTATATTTACTTAGCAGCATACATAAGTAAAAAAACATGTGCACTAAATCTCGTGATAGTATGTCATATTACTGCTAGAATTAGTTTCGCAAGTATGCCAGAGAAAACTGCCTGAAATTTGAAAGTATTATTAACAAATAATAAATAAATTTAGAAGGAAGATGACACATTACATGATATGAATAACATTAACACAAAGTATTAACATTAAAACTTAAGGATAAAAAATTGAATTACAAAAATCGAAAGTATTTTGGCAAATATAGATATATTAAATTGTTAGTCTAGATGACTGATGGTAATTTTTCTTTTCTTTTTTTTTTTTTTTAAATTTTACTGCAAAATGACAAATAAGGCATTTAAAGAATGAAAAACAGGTTTAAAAGTTTTTTTTTAATATGAGAATGGAAGAAATTTACTTTCCTTCGACATGCACTGCACATGCGCATGCGCATGCAAATCTCTACATTCTCGAGGTTACTGGAAACTAAAGATGCTGGAAACTTACTTGCTTTACTGCCTTTCTAAAAGTTACTTACTTGCTTTACTGCCTTTCTTAAACTTACTTACTGCCTTTCTAAAAGACAATCTGATTGGTCCTGCGAAAATTGGCTATATGCCGGTTGTCCAAATGAGGCTCACATGATACGTGATTTGCCAAGAAAGTGATTGCTTCCAACGTTGGCACGAAAATTGCTTTTTGGAGGATCCTAGTATGATATTTCCTGTTTTTTCCAGATTTTGACTAAAATATTTAAATTCCCTGACTATTTTTGGTCAATTTTCGAATTCCCCGACTTTTCCCAGTTTTCTAAGTAATGTGGCAAGATTTCACTGCAATATTAGTAACAAGAACTGGCAGCAGAAAAGGGACATTATTTCATTTTTCTCCCATGCCTTGTCAAGTCTGCAAATGTTTGGTTATTAACGTATTAGCAAATTTAAATTTTTACACAATTATGTTTATTTTATAGTAGTAAATGCTAAGAAACTAGTGCATACACACATTTTATGCATACATGGCACTTTCTTTAAATTTCTGGTGGTACACCCCAACCCTTTCTTTAAATTTTTTATTTTTGTAGGCTATGTGATTACTCTCTTTTAATGTTCCTAATTCTGCGACTCTCCAAAACTCTTTTAATGTTCCTAATTCTGTGTCCATTCTGTGACTCCTCTGTTAAGTACTTTGTTCGGAAGAAATACAAGATTAATATTCAGTTTCTCATATCAAATACAACATTTAGCAATTTCGTATCATTTGTTATATATTTATTCAAATACATATGATACTTTACAAATAATCCTCCTCCCCCACCAAAAAAAAAAAAAAAAAAAAAAACCGTGTATTTCAAAATATTACTCAAGATGAAAATATTAAAGTGTAGTTTTATAATTTTTGGAAGTTTTGTTTTGGTTTTATAATATATGTATAACAAAGACTAAAAACAGGAACACACAAATACATTTTAAAAAGAGAAAAGGGGAACCTAAGATTTTTTTTTCTTATAAAAATTTGCTAGAAAATTATAAAAAGAACTGAATTTGTAATTTTGAAGGTAAAAAAAAAGTTTTCCATTCCTTTTTATTGATAAATTTGAATGGATAATACATTTCTTTTATTTTTAGCAATATCTTAAGGTACTCACTTGCTAAAGCAGCTACTGCCCTTAGCTGCCCAAACTAACCAATTTAATTGCCCAATTTGTAATATGCAAATTTCAAATTTTATAAAATGTTTATGAAACGGCCACTTTAAAGTACAGAATATTGCTTAAATATCTATGTATCAACTCCATAATAAAAAATATGAATATTCAAAATAATTAGTTTATGAGTTCTAATTTAATAACTAAGAATACTTTTATATATAATTTAATAATAATTTCATATGTTTCAGAATGAAGGTCCTAGTTTTTGTGGCAATAATATCAAGTCTAATGATTATTTCATTAGCACAAGAAGGAAACCAGCCTGCAGTTTTACCAGCAGGTGGTCCACCTGTTATCAGCCGCTGTTGTTTATATGGATGGTATGATTGTTGTGGATACTTATTTGGATATCGTTATGGACAATTACCACCCCAATACCCAAAATACCCACCACTTCCACTCTCAAGCAATTACATTTATTGAGAAGAGTGATATTTATATTATTATGCCATATTTCACATCGTATAAAAAGTTATTTCATCAGCCCATGAACTGTAAACCATTTTTGCTGGAATATGATAGTGTTTTTCAAATCATTAGTGTGTATGTCTAAATATGAAAACTTATGTTATTTGGCTGAAAGACAGAAGCCATGTATATTTTAAATAAAAATTATGTTTATTTAATGTTTGCTTATTACTTACAAAACAATTCAAATTTAAGTAAAATTATCATAATAGTTTTAAATGACCAGTAATTGAATCAATCAGGTCTTCAGGGCCTAGAATAAAATTATACAACATAATTAAGAATATATCAACATTCAATACACACATTTTAACCACATTCTAAATATTTAGTTAGCACACAAGAAATAATTCTACTTTGCTTGAATTAGTTTTATATGTAAACATTTATGACAAAGATTACATATTTTAATTTGAAAAAAGTATTTCACAGTTAAAAGAAACAAAAAATAAGTAGTTTATATTACAAGCAGGTATAAATCAGTAATTTTGAATCAAAATATATTTTCATTAATTTACAAATAGTTATGATACTTAAAATATACAATTTGCATACCTGGACCAATGGCTAAAACTGTTTTACTTCCTGAAGGAATTTGGGTACGGCCAGCATCACAGACTATATTAACATTAAAATACTGTCTAGCTGCATCTGCTATAGCCAATCTAAAAACAATAAAATATGTAAAGTTCTGGGCTTTCATTAATTAGAAAATACGAAAGAACAAAATTTTGTTCAATTAAGTTTAATAACTAACAACTCCAGAGCAAAATACTTTTTTTCCTCAAATATGTCATATCTACAAATTTCATACAATATGGCTTAAAACAAATAATCAAAGCAAAAGCAAAATGTAAAATAATAAATTTACATGTGATAAAAAATAATATACATAATATTAAATATAAAAAAATTCTTTACTTATTTGTGCATCTTTAGGGTAGTACTTTGTGAATACTCATAAATGCATTTTTTACATATTGGCCTTTGCATCTGCGGGCGATGTACTTTAAGAAACAGCAAGTATTAGTATTGTACATTGGATTATCTGATTATGATAAAATATGCTAGGGGTATTGATACTGAGCTTTTTTTCTGCCTTGTGCAATATCAGTGACTCAAATTTTGCTACTTCTGCCCTCCAAAATACTAAAAATTTTGCTGCCAAATGTAAACACACTGGTTGCACCAACTTTGTTGCCACTCCTGCCTATGAGGGTGTAAGCCTTTATTAGAGGATTTTCTAAAGGATTCATCTAATGACTAATTACAACTTAAGCCACTGTTTTGCAGCTTTAATATTTTGACCACCAATTGGCATAAAGTACTTCATGTAATATGTCGCAAATTATAAATACAATCAAATTTATAAACAATATATAGTAGCATATTACTAACATAAAACAAAGTAATAATAAAGTTCATCCTATACTACTAGTGCAGCTCAGCGACTAATTAGCATCGACACAGATTCAGGTGCTGACAGGACAGACGAAAATGCACTTTTGTGTTAGTGCTATGATGTTTGGTTTTTATGCCACAGACTATGATTTGCCAATCAAAGCCATTTACTAAAATCATGGACATCGAGACAACAATGGCACAATCATGACTTCGTGCCAGGAAATGGAACCACGAGACAGTGGCCACAAAAGTGATCTAATGCCGAGTGTTCCACGTTGTGCACATATTATTTACACATATTATCACACATTATCTATTCTTCAGTTACATGAAACTAAATTATTCTGACCTTTTTAGCCTCATTTGAAGGCATTTGTATAATATTATTGCGTGCCTACAGGTTAGTAAAGAGCCATTCACACTGGAGTTTGTCTGAGCTAACAGAATCAGTTCTATGTGTCAACTAGTGGAGCTAGTCGACACATGTGCAGTTCAGATTTTTCAGCTCGCTGTGCTATTTACTGGGAAAAACTGCTTTTGGAGATGGGTCAACTATGTTAGATGTCTCCATTAGCTTAGACAAACCCCAGTGTGAATGGACCTTAACAGATTGAATGCACACAAAATTAATGATAGCTGGATGAAATTTATTTTACCAAAAGAACACTTCACAGTTTTGGAAATTTCCACTAAAATAGTTGTTCAACTCTTCACAGTATCGGAGAGTACAATCAGTAGTTACACTTCAAACTACTATGAACATTAAACACAACGCAATGCAAAGTACATCTAAAAAGTTAAGCTAACTCCTAGATATCTCAGTACTCTGAGCTCATGCTAAGCTAATAGCTACTACAACTGAAGAACTGATGTTTTCGTCAGTATTTCGATGAAATTGTTTCCTTCTGGCGGTTGAGAGATTTATAGTACTTTCTGCCTCTCAAAATTACTGGAAGGCATACAAGGGCTGAATTACGGTTTCAGCCACATAAAGCATCAATTACAATATCCATTACAGTTAAAGAGGGACCTGACCAAAATGTCGCCGAAAACTGTTGCCAGCTTGGCAGTACCTCATCAATTTTACTCAATGTTAAATAGACTTTCTCCTGTATTCGTACTTTTCCAGCACAGCATCATCTCTCTAGATTTTCATGTTATATTATACAGAAAAATACAATTTCACATATAACTGCACTAAAATCAGCTATCTGTGTACAAAATTCATAATAAATCATACATATTTTCAAGCAGTCACAATAGCAAAAAATCATGTTTTCACATTAGACATCACAAAAGCAGTGAAATACAGAAATTCAGAAGGAAACTAGGTCAGCACCTCTGTAGTACCATACGTAACTGAGATATTGGTATACCTAACTAACTGTTAAGCTTCTGTCCCAGTGTGGGCTTCTGATAGAGAACACCTGGGAGGTCGAAGGGTCTCCCAGCCCTCTTCTCTTACCGTCAACCTCTTGACATGATTTCAGCTCGGTATGTATTTTGAGTGCTCACTAGCTGCACAGACACTAAATGCTCATAAACATTACGCCATCTCTAGGAGCTGAAAGCAAGCCCTTCGGTACAGGAGTAGTGAAATATAGGTCCAAATCATCATGCATATTTATACTCATGTTCAAAATTATGATGAAAAGAAGTACATATGGATTGCATTTCACCAAACGGCTGTACACTCGATGTTGCCTCATTTTGTAACTTTAATGAATCAGGGATTGAAGACCATATCATTCACAGATACCTATTGTAGATCAAAATTGTGGAAAGCTATAGAAAAATATGGACTCTTTTTATGTTTGAACGTATACAGCTTCGTTATTTTAAAAGAAAATCTTATGAAGTTACATAACATTAAAAATATAATTTTATACAGAATATAACACACTTTAACATGTTGAATTACATTACACCCCATTCCCAAAAACAGCTAAATAAAAATAGGAGAAACATAACTGTCTTACAAAAAAGAAGGAGATTCCTTAAAACTGAAAGCCAATCTAGTATCGCATTGCAAAAATGCATGATTATCAGCGCTTTGAGATTCTATATTTTCGTATTTTTTAAAATATTATATGAAAAATCTATATTAAAATGATAAGCAATGTAAAGAAAGTTAATCATTAAAACTAGGTATAATATATTCTTTTTTTAAATCTCAAGAAGGTAATATTTATGACAAAATTATAAGAAAATTAGGTGGAAGCAAAACTAAAGAAATATTTTCTATTTTATGTAATATATATATACAAACTCATCTGAATGAAACTCATACTGGAGATTAAGACACAATAACACGCCGAATAAATACTAATTCAGAAGTCAAACACCAAAAATCAGCATTATATTTTCAAAATTTTCACAGGACTAGTTTCGATGGTTTTACCGAACCACCTACCTCAGCTGCAAAACTGCAAATGAACAAGATAGGAAATAATGATTAGATAAGATAAGAAAGCCTGGACAAGAATAAGCAAGTGGCGCCATCTGTTGGTGAAACTAGAACTAAAACATGATTTTTTTAAAGGCCAAAGGCAAAGATAGATTGGAATTAGGATCGTTAACTAGAACAGAAAGATTTTTTTTGAATGTGAAATGCCTCTAGAATATCCAGTTCTCCAATGGAAGATGTTTTTTGAATAATTTTGGCAACAGAAAATTGAAAGTGTGATTTTCGGACCATCACACTAATTCTCATCTCAACACATTAAAAGGCACACTCTTGTTTTAGGAGATTATAAAAATTCTGTTGTCATTCCCTTCTTTCCATCAAAGTTGCACATATTTTTCAGAAATTTAACTTTTGGGTTGTTTATTCTCCCATCAATAAAATTCCGAGTTCCATACTCAAGGACCCCATTCCGGATATGAATTCCTGGAGTATTTATAGGATTCCTTGCCAGTGTAGTTTAATTTACATTGGCCAAACTAAAAGAGCCTTAAAATTTCGCGTCAAGGAACATGAGACATATGTTAGAAAAAAGGAAACACAGAAGTCTTCTGTTGCTCAACATTGTTGGTCCGAAAATCACACTTTCAATTTTTCTGCTGCCAAAATTATTCAAAAAAACATCTTCCATTGGAGAACTGGATTTTCTAGAGGCATTTCACATTCAAAACAATCTTTCTGTCCTAGTTAATGATCCTAATTCCAATCCATCTTTGCCTTCGGCCTTTAAAGAAAATTATGTTTTAGTTCTGGTTTCACCAACAGATGGCGCCACTTGCTTATTCTTGTCCAGGCTTTCTTATCTTATCTAATCATTATTTCCTATCTTGTTCAATTGCGGTTTTGCAGCTGAGGATGGTGGTTCAGTAAAACCATCGAAACTAGTCCTGTGAAAATTTTGAAAATATAACGCTGATTTTTGTTGTTTGACTTCTGAATTAGTCATACTGGAGATGTCAGGAAAAGATCCACAACAGGGAAATTAAAAGTAATGTTTGAGTGGTTGAAGAAAACATTTTTCTCTTCTCTGTCTGTCTTTGTCCAGCCATACACTAGTCTGTTCTTTTTACTGCCAACTGCAACACTTCACAACTGACGTCACACAACTTTTAATTGCTGATCACCTAGCTGACCATTTACACTGTATTTGTTTAACAAAGAGGTTGTTAAAGTTAATTTGTACATGAAATATATCCTTATAATTGCAGGACAGCAGCTAAACTATTTCTAAATGAGAATATATAAAATGTTTTATTCAATATTTTAAAATAGAAAATGTCCAACTGCTGATACACAGGACAGAACTTAAGACTTTTTGCATAATTATTTACTGCAGCAAGTGTGAAATTTTGTTTGTTACAGTATGAAATTTTACTACGTAAAAATCTTGAGTATTATAATAAAATATATTCCAGTATTGTATAAGTTACTCTATCATTTAAGTATTGCAATAAAATATACTTCAGTATTACTCAGCTTCCTTTATTATTTTAAAGTAGGGGAGCTAAGGACTAGTTGTAACAGGGGTGAAATTTTTTGTCAGAATTTTCCATAAATATGGTTTTTATGAGAAGTCTTATTCAGTTTCTGAGAAGCCTTACAAGCACAGTCAGTGCCCTGTAGTCACACCCTCCCAACATCTGCAATCCTGACTGACGGTCTCACTCATGCATTCTCCTACTTTCAGCGCTCTATAGCAACTAACTCAGACAGCCAGACTCAGACACGGGCTCACTCATGCATTCTCCTACTTTCAGCGCTCTATAGCAATTAACTCAGACAGACTCTATAGCAACT